CACCCTCGAGTCAGTATCATAAGAAGGACATATCCAAAATAAATCAAGAAGCAAAAATGCAATAGAGTCACGCAGTCAGAAACCTAGAAGGGTCACGGCTTGCCCGTAGGTATGATACTCAACGAGTGCCTTAATGTTGTTCAGATGCGTCTCGAACGTAGGTTCGCCGTCTTCATGAAGAATATCATCTCCTTCCCTCATCACCACCTCGAGGGAAAGAAACCGTCAACGAACCGGTTGAGAACATCGAAGGCCCCTTCGTCCTCGACACTCATGCTGCCGGAGGGGGTATGGTAATGGTCGGGACTATGCTCGTAGTGACCCTGGCACCAGTGGATAAGGAATTTCGAGAGTCTCCCAATATATGGGTTCCCATCCTCGTCATAACACACTTCGCCATCTTCATCCATGATGGAAACCGGGTCGAACACAACATCCACAATCGCCTGAGACGAAGGCTGCACGACATACCATTTATCCTTAAATTCACGGACATAATCCATGTACATTCGAAATAGCCTCTTCGACTGTTTGAAAGAAACACATCTATGTTTGCAACCTTATACTGCCGTTGAAGGTGTAAAATCCTGAAGAACAAGGGAATCGTCACCCCGATCCTGAAGTACCGACAAGTAATTTCGAAAGCTCGGATTAAAGCAATCACATTGGGGTGTAGTTGAGAAGGCTCCAAGTTCAAGTGATTAAACACGTCGGTCTGAAAATCACTGAAGGGTAGACAAAGCCCCAAATCCTTGAAGACGACCTTGTACATGGGGAAATGGTCCTCCTTGAATTTCGAGCATATCCTGGCCGTAGGCGTCAGTCGCAGGATCGTGAAGTTCCAACGAAAATCTTCTTGGTCGCTGCCATACTCAACAATGGTGTACGCTTCCCTTCTAGTGTAACTGAAGACCAAGGCTATCCTGCGGGGTTCTGGCCCGACCCAGGACAGTGAAGGGTCGTCGATCATGTCGACCAAATGGACGCCCTCATCGATTACACTTGTCTGTTCCATCTCGATCTACTCAGATGACTCGGTGGTTTCGACTATTTCACCTATAAAGAAGAGGAAACCAATGAATTCGACAGCTAAATCAAATCCACCCTTGCACTACAACACAAGTGAAAGGGGGTTGCTGCAACCAAACCAGGTCAACGGACCCTCGTGCAGTGAGAAACAAACACAACTCATGAGCACCACGAGGAGCTTGTACGCGCCTCAAACAACTGTACGATGGTGACAAAGACAAAATCAATATTCGCGAGCACTGCGGGTGTGGGATAAACCCTCCGGGAAAATCCATGAATTCAGCAGGGAACAAATGAATTTCACGGGAAAATTCATGAATTTCGTGGGGAACAGATGAATCTCACGGGAAAATTCGCGAATTCTACAGGGAGGAGATGAATTTTACGGGACCATTCGTGACTATTACAAAGAGATGTACGAATACCCCGAGTAAAGATCCCCCAGGTAGTGAAATTCATCAAAGATTCATCGAAAAGCCAATCGTAAATAACAATCAACACTGGAAAACACTTACTTGATCAAAGTTGGTGGGATATCCGCGGAGGAGGTTGCGACGGTGTTAGCGGTTGGAGAAGATAAAAGATAATGTAAAACCAAAGACGATAGAGAGAGAGGAGAGAGGAGAGTTGGAATGTGGCAAATGAACCATAAGGCACTATTTATAGAGTTGACACGGAAGACGAAGCATCACGTCGGACAGCGTGCCAACCGCCCTTATCCTCGCCACCTACGCACTCAGGTCATAATGACCCCTACTCCCTAGGCCATCATCTCTATTCCAAAGGTCACGCCACACGCCTACGTCCTGTAAACCTCCCTTTCCCCGTGAGTCAAGGAACAACTGAAATGTTCCCTACGGAGCTAATTCCAACCTCCACTCGAGTAACCACACATAACGATGACCCCATCCTTCGACACGGTGAAAGCCCCCCGGCTAAGTTATACTCGCCATACGAAGAAGTTAGATTTGAGTCATAACTTCTTCATCAGGAGACACGACTTGGGGGGCTCCTGTTCAGGACTGAGCCTGCACTTGACCCAAACAACATACAAGGCCCAATCCAACTGCGCTACATAAGGAAAGCCTGCTGACAGAGCCTACCCTCGATTGTGCCAGGCAGTAACCTCACTCTTCTGGTCGACCTGGCTTTATCTTATGGGGATAAACCCAGGGATGGCGTGGAGGACTGACGATGGACAGAAGGACCTCGCGAGCATGCTCTGCCCTTCTTGTCGACCAAGACAAGTCCCCCCAGGGACGACCTCGCAACTGGAGAGGAGGGTCCACAACGGAAAGAAGGACCTCGCGAGCATCCTCCTCGTAAGGCTGACTCTCAACACCTCCAAATATCGGGAGTCCTCTTGGCCTCGAAAAGACCACATCCATATCCTCCTAATAGTTAAGAGGAATCCATCTAGGTTAGGGACCACATGCTGCCCCCCACTATGCACGTAGGACCTGTCAATCTCCATTTTGGGCCTGCCTTCCCAGCCCAACGATGGGGATCTTGTCCCAGCGCTAGGGGCTATAAGTATCCTCAGGTATTCACTCTCTCATTCTTACTCTTATACTTGCTTGCATTTTCTATGAATCTCACTTTGGTATCAGAGTGTCTTGCAGGTATCCTCCATTTCACATCCAACCTCTGCTCGGCTTGAAGCTTGTGGGCTTGGATAATCCCTTCTAGCCAGGTACGATCAAGAGCCCATGTAGATTTGGGTTCGAGTAAGGATTTTTTTTTTTACGGATATAGGAACGATTACTATCGTATCCTGCCCAAATCCTACCAATTTCCATCCATAATATCAATGATTAGTTCAGTCAAAATACGAAGTCATTAGGTCATTGGCCAAAGTGGTGGATCATTGGTTAAACCACATAGTTGCTAACATAAAATCAAAATCAAAATTGACATAAAATTATGATTGTAACATTTTAAAATAATTTCTATACATTTTTTAAATTCTATTTCAATATAATAGAGTTTATACAAAAATAAAACATAAAAAGATAATAAGATGCGCAACTACTCCTTTTTAGATGGTAAAACTATATTCATGGATCTAGGAGATACAAAATTACTATTCATAATTCTTTGGACTCTATGTAAAGACTAATTGTTTCTAGTGCTTGGAAACCAAAAGTGACAAAAGCAAATGATATGAAAGCATGTTGATTTCGACACACGTTTTTCTCATGTTTGACCATTTTACTTAAAACAATTTTGATAGTTGTTTTTCTCACAGTAAAACCTTTAGTCCTCAGTCCCACCAGTGGATAAACTTTAGTCAAGTCCACACAAACATGTTTCCTTCCTAACCACTCATATACCAGAACATTTGTTGGCCTAAATGTTGCTCTCACCGTATGGACCAGTCAAGAAATTCACAAGTATCTCTTTATTCACAAATACTCCGACCCACCAAAATATATCAAATATGATATCCCTAACAAGACCATGTCGATATTTGAAGCCTTAAAACTCTCTACAATAAATCGTGTATTCTCCAAATATATTCAAACACACTTTATAACAAACTCAAAAAATCTAATAATTAAATTCATATAAAGTAAAGATAATTTTTTTCTAATAGGTGATAACACAAAATTATTAATACATAGTCTTCATTTCAAATCTAAAATCATCTTAAATACATGTCTTACCATCAAACAAAAACAAAACAATGAATCCCAAATTTTTAGCAAAATTATTCGAATCAAATTACAAATGCTAAATGCTAAGTAAAAATGTAATATTAAAATTGAATATCGATAACAATAATGCAAATTAAAATAGTAAATTCAAAAATAATAACATAATTAAATTACAAGAACTAAACCCACTCTAGGAAAGAATATTTATCGAAAGAATTGTGATTTGAGGTAGATTAATAAATGAGAGGTATATTCTTAAGATTCGTAAAGTTTCATATTTTGTTTGAGTTGAGATGGGAGGAAGAAGATGTTTCAGTTTTGGACTTTTTTCATTACTTAGAAAATGTGTTAGTAAAAAAGTACAACTAGTTTTTGGATTTTTTCCATTACTTAGAAAATGTGTTAGTAAAAAAATACAACTAGACGGTACAAACAAAATCACTAATTCATTGGTTTCACCAGTAAATCGGCTCAATTATATTGGTTTTTATATTAGATTAATTGTACATTTTATCTTTTTAACCTTTTCAACCTGCTCATCCTTTAATTTGTGATCTAACTGATTCAACCGAACGATTTAGGTTAGATTTTAAACACAACATAAAATTAAAGAATTTAAAATTACTCTAATCTTAGTAAAATATGAATGCGAAATTGATCATTATTATAATTTCTAAATTTATAAGTTAATCCCTCGTATTTTATAAATTTTTTAAATTGATTTTAATTTTTTTTCAAATTAGTCACTTTAAATTTTTAAAATTGATCCAAATAATTTAATATTTAAAAAATAATCTCAAATAATATTGAATAATTTTAATAATCTATCATAAAAATTTAAAATAAATAAATTTTAATTAAATCATTTAAATTACTTAAAATTTCAATTTTCTTAAAAAATTTCAATTCCCTTATAAAAAACACTCTATCAAAACACACTCTACATTATGTTCATAACTATTACCAAAAGCAATCATATAATGATTGTTCTAATGAAATCATAAGCCTAATAAACTTCTCAACAAACAAATAATGTGTGACTTGAAATTTTCTTTTTCCAGCTAAGATTTTACAAAATAGAAGAACTACTCTTATACAACTAAGAGGTCTAAAATATGAAGAAAAAACTGACAACCTACCAACATAAAACTAACTATAAAACAAATAAAAGAGATATTCTAACAACTATTAACTACAGACAATTTTTAAAGTTAAAAGAATTAATAATAGAATAAATTTTTTTTCAATTTTACAAAATTGTGGACTATTGGCCTCCAATAGCTCCATGTACAATAAACAGAAAAGAAAAAAAAGTTATGTCTTATTATTATTTCTCATATTTGAGACCAAATTCACAAGATAGTTACAACGGTCGCGATGAAACTCAACAACCATACATAACTGTCTTATCGCCTCCCTCTTTTTCTCTCCGAGACTGTCCAAATCCTCGTCTTTCTCTTTCAGATTCTTTTCCAATTTCACGACTTTCTTTTCAAGGTGATTCACTGCATTTGTCAAGTTCAGATTCTCTCCTCCTTCTTTGCTCACTGTGGCTTCTAAATTCCATACCTTGTCTCTCAAAAGTAACTCCTGCTCTTCTTTTTCACTCAGTAACGCCGTTAGACCATCCACATTGTCCTTCAATTGTCTCATTTCCGCGTTCATTTTCTTTATCCAATCCTTAGCTAACTGAATTTCACACAGCATTTTAGACACATTGCTCATGATGCATTCTCTGTGTTCCTCGAGTTTTACAGCTGCTACGTCTAATCCATTTAGAGCAGCCTCAAATTCAAACCGCATTCGATCAACCAGTGGTGAGGAGGGTGCTTCTTCCCTAGCTGTAGTTTCCTCTTTAAGCCTTCTTAGTTCATCTTCATAAATAGCAACTTTCTCTCCAAGAGTCTTGTTCTCTTGCTCGTACCTCATATTTGTTAATTTGCAGCTGTTTTTGTTTTCGTTGTTCAGTTGTTCTGCCACATGGATCCTCTGGTGCAGTAACCGGATATTGTCTTCCATTTTCTTCCTCAACTTTTCAGCCAATTCTTCCATTTTTTTCTCTGTCGTCCGCAGATTCTTATTCGAAGTGATTACAGTTTGTTTTTGCTCCTCATTTATTCGCTCAATGGTTAACGTCTGATCCTTTATAGTATTCTCGAGATCACCTATCTGCGCTGCCAACTTCGTGTTCAAGTTTTCCATCTTTGCCAGGCTTTCTGCATATTCGTTCTGGTTTCGCTCGTTTTGGAGCTCCAACTTGCTCTTCTGTTCATACATACTGTCCAACTCTAGTCTCATATCATTAACTTGAGCTCTTAAAGCCATGATCTCCATAGAAGCTCCATTTTCGTCGCTAGCATTTTCCAACAAAAAACTAGTTATCTCTTCCCCTCTTTGTGTCATCGCTGCTTTCAGTTCATCGTTTCTGTCCTGCAAGGCCTTGTTTTCATTCATCATGTGCTTAAGCTCATAAGTTGTATCTCTTAACTGTTCTTCCACGTCAATTTTCTGGTGGCTTTGAGTTTCCAATTCGACTTCCATCTCCTTTAACACCGCAAGAAAACCTACTTTCTCTTCTAACATTGTCTGTTCAACTGATTTTGTTTCGGCCATTTTCTCCTTCAAATTTTCTATCTCCATTAGATACTGCAATATTTCTTCCCCTTTTACTTCCATTTGAGTTTCTAATTCTTTGTTCAGATTCTCTTGAGAATCTAACTTTTGCTGCATACTGTTAAGCTTCTCCATCAACTCTTCTCTTTGAGTTTCTAATTCTTTGGTCAGATTCTCTAGAGAATCTATTTTTTGCTGCATACCGTTACGCTTCTCCATCAACTCCTCTCTTTGAGTTTCTAATTCTTTGTTCAGATTCTCTACAGAATCTACTTTTTTCTGCATACTGTTAACCTTCTCCATCAACTCCTCTCTTTCGATAGAAGCTTCATTTTTATCGCTTTCTATTCTTTCTTCCATTTCATATTTCTGAGTTTCCATAGATTTGGTCTCAAGTATAAGCTCATTGACTTGTGCCATCAATTTAACAATGTTGGACTTGGCTTGTTCCTCGCTGTTATTAAGTTTCACCTCCAGGTTAGATACCACACCTTGTTTATCTTTCAACAACGATTCAAGTTCCGCGACATGGTTCTGTAGCTCAGTATTCTTTATGCTTAGCTCTTTAACTTCATTTGCTTGGCTATCAATTTGAAGTTCTAGATTCGTTTTATCGTTGCTCAAGCTCCTCATCTCGTTCATTACTGAATTTAATTGTCTTTCATGTTCTTTTGCCTCAACGGGTGCTTCATTCTCAAGAACTTCATTTGTATTGTCAACATTTTCGTTAGGATCCTTCACCTCGTTACTATCATCGACTCTATCAGGTTCCTGTTCCTGCTTAACCGTGTGAGATAAATTTCTTTTTTCTTTCTCTGATCTTCTCTTATTAATACCATCTACTTCCTCGGAGGAAAAGTACTCGGATTCTGAGTCAGATGAAGACGCTAAAATCTTGTTTCTTTTGGGAGAAACCACTTTCCCGATAACATTATCATACTGTGCAGAAAGTGACTGATACTGCTTGTATAAGTCTTCGGTTAGTCCCATAAGTTCTGTCTCTTTTTTAGAACGTCTCGAGTTTGTAGCTGTTTTGCTTTGATTTTCATTCTTAATGAGCTTCTGGATTTTTGTGATTTTGGTCTCGATATCTGCATAGAATTTGAAATCATGATACATTTTCATTAATAAATCTCAAATATTTCAAAATAAGATGTGAAGCGCAAAGGCTATAACATAAGGACAAGTTTCTTGTTCTACAAGTAACAATCCTTATATATGATAGCTAAGTCAGTTCTTTCCCCTAATGAGCCCATAAAAGTTTTAAGAACTCTTATAAGCTCTTTAGCAACTCCATTGACTAGTATGAAACAAAGATTTTAAGTAATCAATCATTCATTCCTATTCTAAAGTAAAATGATTGATTCTTGGCAACTTATAGGCCAATAGAGTATTCCAGAATTCATGTGTGAAATATGCGTGTATTAATATAAGAGAAAATCTATACCTGATTTAGTCCTTTTGAGTTCTTCAGCATTTTTCGGATCGATTAGACTGTCAACAATCTTGATTGATTCCATTGAATGGTAATTTATCATCTTTTGCAATGCTACATTTAGAAGAAAATCCTAATTAAAGAACTGAATATAAATACGACAAATCAAAAGTCATTTTAAAATAATGTACCTAAACACATGACATTGTTAGTCTTCACTCAAATTGATTATCTTGTTGTAACAACTATAGACTCACATTCACTTTCATCTACATATTCGACTACATTCGAATACATGAATCAACTTTAATTAATACAAACTTTATTATTCTCAATTTATAAGAAAGAAAAAAGTAATGAAATGTTGACAAGGTTTGCATCATGCCCTGACCCACTGCACTGCAAGCAGCCGTATAATTGTTTATCCACGATGGTGGATATGTCTGGCTTATGTTTAGGAACATGTCAACTTCTACATTTATTAATTTGCAAATTTGAAAAAAAACAGGATCTTAAATTCCCATGTTCAAATCCTTTACATAAAGATAAGCTTTTAAAAACTCTTTATCATTTGTTTTTTCTTAATTTATTGAGCAAACTCTCCATTTTCAAATAGAAAGGGACCTGTACATTCCATCATTTCCATTCAAAGTTCGCACCAAAAAAAATCAAACACTGTACATAAAGAAGGTCAAGGGGACAATAATTAAATATTCATAAAGTGAATTAATTAAGAACAAAATTCAGATTCAATTCAGCATTTTACGTATAACCAAATAATTGTAAACCTTAATCTGAATTAGTTAATTAGGCATTTCAATTCAGCATTTTACGTAGAACAAAATTTTGTTACGTTGATTATTCCAATTTTAGTAACAATCGGTTTAATCCCGTGATTAATATTAATCATTTCAGATCAATTCAATTTAATAGATCTGATAGAATATGTGTATTTTTAACCTAACATGTGAAAAAAATACAGTAAATTAAATACCTGAAAATGTAACTTCTTCATATGTACCAAACCGATTTGATTAAGAAAACCTGAAACGAATAAAAAATGATTTAAAAAAGAATCTGAATGATAATAATTAGGAATGAGAATATAATTATTGTCGTGCCTGTCCCCTTGTGATTTGAGTGCAACGAGGCAACATTGGCATTTCCTTGGAACAAAATGCCCTTGAAGATTGGAATTTTTACGATTGAATGCCCTTCAGTAACATCTTGTGAATGAGACAGGAGATTTGAAACGCAGCGATTTTTTGTTTTTGTGAAAGTGAATACAAATCACCTCAAATTTCTTACTATTTTCATTTTAATCTTTTATTATATTTTTTTATTAGCTCAATACATTTGTTTTTTTATAAGTTAAATGTGCACAAATTACCATTTACATTCAATGAAAGTAGTTAATAAGGCACAAACAGACAGTTAATAATAATGGAATATAATTTATATTGATAATAGTTCTTAAAAATTGAAAATTGTCAATTCATTATTAATTAATTAAATATTTAATTTCATTCCCTTTCATCTGAATGGTAAAAAGTACGTATTTTTATAATATAAAAGATAAAATTAACTTTCTAACTAACTTCAATAGTCTAACTAACATTGGATGCTAATACTTCCTCCTCGAGTTTGACTGAGCATGTAGACAAGTCCAAGCTTTTTAGAAACGGTAGAAAAGTTGGTTTTGATAGGCTTTTAGTGAAGACATCAACAATTTGAGCAGAGGGTGATGTTGGAAAAAGTTTGATGAAGTCATTTTTCAATTTATCTTTAATGATATGTGTAATACGGTGGGAGAACTGACTTGAGAGTTTTGCGTTTGGTCGCAAATGTTGCGGATAGCAAGAGTCGCCACCGACTTTTCTTTTATCCAATAAAGGAAAGAGTGAAAAGAGCAGGAAAGATCTTTTGAGAATTTTTCTTGAGTTCGGGGGTAGGTTGTGAAAAGGGAAGGTGTTAGCACCCTTTTCATTCGTAGTTATCTACGGACTCTTAATTGCTTGATCACTTTGAAATGCTTTTGTGTTTGTGTAAGTTTGAAAATATTTTGAAAACGTCTAAGTTTGACAAACTTTGCAATGATTCTCGCATCGTTGAGAATGTATACAAAGTGTTGGTTTTGAAAATATTTGTTGAAAATGAATGTTTAGAAAGATGTTTGAAATATGCCAATGTAAGGCCATTTTGTAATGATTCTCGTATCGTTGAGAATATATACAAAATATTTGTTTGAAAAGTGTTTTGAAAATGTGAGGTGTAAAAACAATTTCATTTTGTGAGCAAGCAATTACGAGCAATCTACCTACTCAAAAAGTATTTGTTCTTTTCCTCTTCCTTTAGATAGTGCTTGTCTACCATTAGTTAGTAGGAAGCCTTATCATTGGATATGAGAGACAAACGTGAGTCATCGTACAGTCATAGAAGGTAACTTGTAAAATATTTTAGCAATTGCCGTAAGGGACTAAGATCATTCACCGAAGGAAACTTTGAAGGATCATCGATGGACTATGATCTTTTAATCGAGTGTCTTTGCTAAAACATCCCACGTTCGAGGGACATGATTGTTTATATCCGAGGCAACAATTGTGGGTTACTCTAGAGGTGCATGTGTGCAAAGTATTTTTTTTGTTTTCATGTGTTTATCTTGAATTAGGCTTGTCTATGATTGGTTTTAAGTCTTGTCATACAAACCCTAATTACTAGCAATAATATGGAAAGCGATAAATTACAGAAATTAAATATCCTACGCTATTACAATACTTTAGGGGATGGGGGATACAAATTTACAAATGGGGATAACAAGTAAAATAAACCGTAATCACTATTACAAGGCTTTGACAATTACATAAATTATAATGCGAAATAGTAAAATACGCAAAGAAAATATAAGAGAGAAGAAATTGCTTTTGTGGTGATTTTTGATGGAGGAGGTTTTATGGTTAACCTAATTAACTAATTATTTACAAGAAAAATTAATTAATTTATATAACAAAAATCCAATAGTCTAAGTCAATTAAAAGAAAATTAAATAAAACCTAAGTCTAATTTAGTTTTAATTCTAAAAAAGGAAAAGATTAATTAAAAATATTCTTGGAGTTTTATTTATAAAAATAAAGTAAAAATGAAATAAAATAGAAATTTTTTTAGTCTATTTATTTAAGAAAATATATTTTATATTTTAATTAAATTAAATAAAATAAATAAAGAAGATATAAAAAATAAAAAATAAAAAAGTTGGGCGAAGGGGAGTTAAAAAGTAGAAAGAGTGTGAAAAGTAGTAAACAAGTTTAGGCCCAAAATAGTTTTTTTTATTGAAATCAGAAAATAAAACAAAACTAAAAAGAGTTATGGGCCTGCGTTGTAACTAGCAGATTGGGGGGTGTGCTGAAGAGAAAAGGCTGAGGCCTAAATATGAAAGGCCTAAACGCGCTTGTGAGTGAGAAAAGGAGGAAAATAATATGGAAAAAATCAAAAGGGTACCGCTGGGGCTCAAATCCAGGTCCTTATAGTTCAATGTCTTAGCGCACGCTTCTCTGCCACTGGGGTGAATGTTTCATCTGGTAATAAAACATGTTGCAATAAATTTAAAATAAACCAAGTCCTGACTATACTTCATCTTCTTCCTCGCCCCACATTTTTATACTTCTGAACTTACTCATTTCTCAACCATTTTAGAAATTATAAACATCAAACTTGTTAGAAATTTCATCACGATTTCAAATATGTAAACAACTTAAGCTATGGATCAAAGATGAACACGAATTTTGCTTGGTACCAAATTCTGACCTAATTTTTCAGTAAAGTTCAAACTCAAAATTCACATCAGTCAGGCAATATAAATGAAATCTAAGGGCGTGGTTAGCTTCAGGGCTATGATATCTACATTTTATCTTTATAAATCAGAGACAAATGATGCTTGTATAAGGATTTGAAAGTTCAGAAAACTTACCTTGAAAATGGAAATAGTGTTTTGAGTTTGAGCACTCTTGGAAGTATTGTGATGATCTGAATAGCTTCACTGGAACTCTAGGAAGCTAATGTAATGCTTACTTTAGATTGAGAGTGGTTGTATTATTCTGGAGAAGTCAATGTGCAAGTTGCTACTTTTGGCTATGAAAGATGAGGAAGATGGTGTTACAATTGTGTTGCAGGTGTTTGAATAGCTTCTATATGAGTTATAGAAACTTGGTGATTAATTAAAATGGAAAGCGTACGAGTGGATTGTGAGATGGGTGTTCAAAGTCAGAAATGACACAAAAATGGAGTTTGTGTGCAAATTCTGATTTCAGGGAGTTTGAGAGAGTTTTTAGGCTTGTAAATTCGTATCCTAAGTTGCAAATACATGCCTCTATTTATAGGGAAAGGTTTGAGGGCTTGAAGTGATCAGAAAACAAAGATCACATGTTATGGTTTTTTGGTTTATTTTTGAAGCAATCTTGACAAACATTATTACAAAGCATAGTACAAGGCTATCTAAAGTGGTTAGGAACTTTAAAAATGTTGCTTCTGGCCTTTGTGTTGAGTGTGTGCAGAGGGAGCAAGTTAGAGGCTCAAGACAAGTTGACTCTATGATTAAAGCAACTTTTCAAGAATGGCAATGGTGCCTTTGTGCCATAAATGGAAAAATCATGTGGACAATGGCTTAATAACTTGGATCATACCTCAATCAATTGTGTAAAAAATTAATTATGGAGTGATTTACAAGTTAGAAGCCTGCAAAGCAATATTATGCATCATAGGTTTGAGATTTGATCAAGTGTTCTTCATGAAAATGGCTTGAAATGCAAGAATGGATGCTCGACTTCTTCTCTTTGATTCTCCTAGCTCAAAATGATCTCTTCAAGTTCTTGGACATTTTGGAAAGCTTGAAACATTGTCTACAACCTTCATGTTAACCATTTTGACAAAATCAAATTGGAACTAGGTGAAAATTAGTCAAGAAGTTAGGTCAAAAATCTGTCTAAACTAGTTGAAAATTTCCCTAAGTGTTTTAGGAAAAATGTCATGACTTCATGAGCCTATATCTTCAAGTCTAAGTATTTTTTGGACATCAACCCTCTAATTCAAAGTTGTAGAGTTCATCAAGAT